TCAGACTTTTTCTTTCCCACCTCAATTTCTCAACTCCCTGCAGTTCTAGGCCTTTTGCCCCCTATCAGAGGCTCTCAGGGGACTCAGGAACTCCCAAAGCAACTACATACCAGGGTAAAAGAAATCTTAAAATCTCTTCCATAAATATTGGTAAAAAGAATTAGTCCTCGTATTGAGAGTAACCTTAACCTGATCCATCTGCGAGGAACATAATTCAGATAAAAATATAAAGTGGAACAAAAATGAGAACCAACTATTTTATGTAAGCTAGTAAGTTTTGTATCACTGTGTTTATCTGACTAATGATCAAAATTTTAGAATGAAAGAAACTATAAGGTCTCCATTTGCATTTGTCTGTATGCTTGTGAATGTATGAAGGTAAGTTATGTATATGTAATAGTTTCCTACATCCAGGTGGTATTACCAAGTTAATTCATAAAGTCTTGTAAAGAAGCTCCATTTTGATTGGCTTAGAGATATAAATACACAGTTATATGAATTAAATTTTCCCCAAACTCCCAGAAATATGGAAACTAACACCAATGTTTTACAAATTCATATAATTCAGGTATATACTGGGTAAATAAGACTAGTTTGATATTATTGGTTTAATAAAAATGCCTATATCTTCTGAGATGTCAGCACTAAGCATAATTCAAAGTACATTTTTATTATACATGGGTTTATTAGTGAAATAAAGTAGCATTATATCTACTAGATGTTGAAGGTTATAAAACATAGATTCAACTTAAGAAAAAATGTAAAAGTAAAGTTGCAGTAAAAATGAATTACTTCATGCATCATATCAAGCACAGCATTAACATATTGAAAAACTGTATGAGGAAACATATGCCTATAAAATTGTGAGTGAGGGGGCTGGCCCGGTGGCGCAGTGGTTAAGTTCGCATGTTCCACTGCTTGGCAGCCTCTCGGCGGCCCAGGGTTCACCACTTCGGATCCTGGGTGTGGACATGGCACTGCCAGGCAAAAGCCATGCTGTGGTAGGTGTCCCACATATAAAGCAGAGGAAGATGGGCATGGATGTTAGCTCAGGGCCATCCTTCCTCAGCACAAAGAGGAGGATTGGCAGTAGGTAGCTCAGGGCTAATCTTCCTCAAAAAAAAATTGTGACCGAGTATGTTCATAAAATTTACTAGTTTGATACAAAATTCTGGTATATGACAATTAACAATTGTCTACTTCCTAGTTTTCTCTATAAAATAGGTTACTAATGGTTAAAAATTATAATCAATTATGAAAACAAAACTAGTAGAAACAATGAGAGTGAAGGGAAACAACTTTGAAGGAAAATATGCAATGAAAGTAGGATGTGTTTTTGATAAGGAAATATATACATAATATAAAGGATTATTTTAAGAGAAAAAAGAGAGAAACTATCTTAAAGTAAAATAACTGGTTTTTCCAGAATGAGGAAGAGGAAAATATAGGACAAAAACTGAATGGATGAAAAATGTTGTGGAACACTTGTGGAAAAGGAATCTTATGTTGAGTGCTCAAAGCCAGCAAAGGTTGGATGGGCTTATTTATAATGTTTTTTTTTAAAATAATCTTTAATGAACTAATGAACTAAATGAACTTCAAATAAAAAGTACGTTAATGCAAAACTAGCGTTTGGTATTCTTTCTGTGAAAAGGACAAAGTTTTCTTGGAGTATTGGTCTCCCCTTAAAGAAACTGTGAAAGGTTTTTTGTTATCTTCTAATTTGTTATCTTCTAAAACTGAGATTTTGTGTCTCATCAGAATAATTTCCTGAGCTTTATATTAGCCTTAATAATGTCCTTGGTTATTTAAGAGAATGGAGTCTTCTCACTTTTTTATAAGACGTAAGGTTTTTTACAGCCATGTTATCTCCTATAGTTACTTTTGAATTATTTTAGTTACTTTGTTTAATAGATAGTCAAATACTGTTTCATAGGGACCTAGGATTTTATTTAGTCCAGTGTTCAAATTTTTTTTGAGGAAGATTAGACCTGAGTTAACATCTGCCACCAATCCTCCTTTTTTTTGCTGAGGAAGACTGGCCCTGAGCTAACATCCATGCCCATCTTCCTCTACATTTTATATGTGGGATGCCTGCCACAGCATGGCTTGACAAGCGGTGCATAGGTCCACACCTGGGATCCGAACCAGCGAACGCTGGGCTGCCAAAGTGGAACGTGTGAACTTAACTGCTGCACCATCAGTTTGGCCCCCCAGTGTTCAAATATTTTTGACAACTTTTGAAATTTCGTCTTTCCAAAATCAAATCCTAAATAAAATCCCGATTTTGAACTAACATTGAGACTTCCCAGAGGGCCCCTGAAAAACATCAAAGGATTTGTTTTTTTACTTTATGAAAAGAGAGATGTTAAAAATAATTAGGTTTATTTAATATGTTGAATTGCATGAAAAATGTTGTTGAATAAGAAGAGATGCTTAACTTTTCCAGTTATATTTGTATGGGTAAATGTTAGTCTTCTGTTACTCTCAAGTAGTTTTTGTTTTACTCTGATTCATCTAAGAAAGCATTTGCAATCAGCTACAGGCCAGAGTGCTTCATCTTGAACAAAAAGGGAGCATCTCAGAGACCCAAGGAAAAGACTATGACAGGCACTTTGGGGTGCAGGCTTCTGATAGTTTTGCTTAAATAACTGTGAGACCATACCACTATACTGAGTAAAGATTTCCAGAACTCTAGTGGAGAAAGTGATGGGTTCATAAAACTGCTAACTCAAGATAAAGTAGAACAAGCAATAATTACTTGGGACTGAATGAACTGATGAAAAATGATTATGATTTTTTATGGCTTTTAGTTATGGCTTTTAGTTTGGAACATTGCTGGTTCTTTAACATTATATTTTCTGGATATGGAGAATCCTTTTCCATTTTTTCTTAAGTTATCTATAATATTTAACAATTAACGGACTATATATTTGTAGACAGAAAGGAAATGGACATTTTTTTTTTTTTTATCTATATCTGGTCCCTCCAGAGTTCAGAAACTCTTATTCGGTGTTCTTATTTCATGGCAATATAATTATTTGCATAATTTCAACAAGAATTTGTCCTTGAAACAAAAGATAATTGGAAACATTGGGTATATAACCAAAGCTTTGAATGGAATATCATATTTTAAAATGATGTGCATAGAATCAGATGTGAGCACACAGTATTAAGGAACTAAGCCCTCTTGGAAAAATCAGCTTGGTATCTGACTTACAGGGTTCTTAACCTTACAGATGAGTAAGGAATGTCACTTCCTGCAGGACCAGGAACCCTAGGATATTTTGGGGACATTGAGAAGAGAGGAATTCTCCCAAATCTATACTATTTCAGGTGAAGTCTGGTGGTAAGCTCTTGGCTTAGCTTCTTACCCTCAAGAGGGTTTTAAAAGTCTAATCTGAGACTCTTTATGAAAAGTTCCAGCAATGCAAACTTAAAAAAGCCTATATAGTTAATTAACATTCCTGTTGAACTTATGTAAATAATCAGGCCAACTATAATAAAACCAGACTTATTTTGTAAACAAGAATCAAAAAAGGGAACGACTGTAGAGAAAACTTTTATGTTTGAAAGGGAAAACCACAGCACAGCCTGTGTGATATTAGATTTTAATACTATTTGTTGTCTTTGAGGGTTTTTTTACCGGCCTGTAAACTGGACTAGATCCTACTGTCTTGCACATTTTGTCATTCCTACCCAAATCTCAATTTTAATTTCCTCCAATATCTAGCTATCACTCTCCAAACTAACATTTCTAATTTTTCTCCCACTCCCTTGACTTGGCATCACTAAGAACTAAAACTTGACTGCCCAGATACTTATTAGGACTATATAAAGAAGCCATGTAAGTAGAAGCTGGTTGCTTCCATGATCTGCTCTGGAAAATGATCATGACTATGGCATGAATGTTTATGTCTTCACTAAAGATATTTAATCTGCAAACCAGGAAGTCCATCAGACTGCTACTGCTGTTCTCACTCCACCATGTGAAGAAGCTTTGAGCCTAAAATCTAGAAATTTTCTACCAACATCTAGAAATCTTTTCAACTGACTGCCCTCTGGACTCAGAAAATGGTTTTATAGTCTGCTTTAACCATTAATTTTTGTTTCCCTTTTATTTTCATAAGCCCCTCTCACTTAAATACTTGATGGTTTGCACCATCCAGCAAATATCCTCTACTACTAAGTCCCAACAGATAGTTCAGTGGGTCCTTAATGAACAAACGGCAAGCAAATGACAAACTAACATATTGTTCAAAGGAAAGAAGATGTCTCTTATTTATTTGAACAAGAGGAGGAACTGATAAAGACTCACCCCTTGACCAGGATTCAGACAGGCTCCTCTGAGCCCTCTTTAAAACTAAGCCTCATCCTTTGGCCCCAACTTCAGCCTGCCTAGTCCAGTTGTAGCAAAATTCCTGCTAAGTCAGTTTGGAGAGAATCCTCCACTTTTCATATCTGATCACTCTGGCCTACCTTCTTAAGAATCCTATTAAGTTGGTTTAACAAGAAACTCCCTACCTTAATGTGTCCTTTTAGTAATTTTCAATTTAATGATCCCCTTACTCTGCTCATTGGCTATAAATCCCCACTTGTCCTTGCTGTATTCAGAGTCAATCTTGATCTCTCTCTTCTATTGTGATAGTCTTGACACCAATAGCAATAATCCTAAATAAAGTCTTCCTTACTCTTTTAACAAGTGTAAGAATAATTTTTCTTTAACAATTGAAGTGAAAGGATATCACAGAAAGAGGTGTATACTTAATTTAACCTGAAGGAGAATAAAGAAATTGTGGCTTTAAAAGAGTTCACACTGAACATGCTGTACTGAATAAGAATGTGTGTACTAACTAATGCTGTATGCAAGTAGGGAACACATCTGCCAGAACAATCCAAATAGTTCCAAAATTAAGTATTTTTCTAGAATTGAAAAATTATCACAGATGCAGTCCAAGATAGTCACTCAGAAAAATCAATGAAGAGCATCAACACAAATAATCCATAATCAATCTATAAATCAAAATTGGGGTGAATTCATTATGAGCCAAACCTAAGGACCATATAGCCTGGGACAGTACCTTCATGAAGGAAGGAAGCACTCCAAAGAAGAAAGGTGTACAGAGAGGTTATTTACCATCTTAGCACAAAAAGCATACATCACATATGACAGGAATATTCATTTTATAACTGTCACAAGATTGCTTTACTGGCACAGCAGGTCAGTGGTCACAAGGTGAACACAGCAAGTCAGCAATTAATCCTTAGTTTCTGGGAAGAGCTGTTTATCTTTAAAGAAATGCACACATGGGGGAGCTACATTCCTATCTTTAAGGGAATCATTCTTGGCTTTGGGACACTGTAAACATTTAAAGCAGATGTACAATGCATGTTCAACAGGCCATGCTGACAGGCCTTTCTGGAAAAATAGGGTCAGGCTGAATTAGTTCTAAGCCAAATTCTTTCATCATATACTCTAATATATCGTATTGCTTGTCATTTATTCATCCAGAGGAAAAGGTAGAATTAAACAAATCACACAATTTTGCCTGGTGCCCGAAGTTTTCTACACAGCATTAACTATAGCCTTGGTTTTGACAAACAGATATCCACAAAATTTAGGCACAGGGTCTTTGTAAGTTAATATGTCCTAAGTTATTTTTCATAGAGTTTACTCAAGTCTTTTTCTTTTCTTAATTAACTCAGACACCCATTTTATATAACATTTGACGTCATTGATAGCTCATAAAATGCAAGTTCTCCTAACATGCTTTATTAAAATGCCATGGCACTTTAACATTTTTAACATAAATCTTACATATGCATTCATCCAAGACAGGAAAAGGCAATTCTTTTTAAATATGTTGCTATTCTTAGTAGTTAACTGAAAAAAGTTTAAGTTCTAGATAGAGATTTTCTTTTATTCTCAACTGTCAAATCATGCAAAGAAGATGAGATTAAATGAATTAAATGTACACCCTAAAATTGTGTTCAGAACTCAGTGGGAAGTGCTGACTGAATCTGGTGAAGTGACATGCATTTAAATCTGGCTCAGGGAGAAGGAAAGAGGAAGGAGATCAGCTCGAGGTTTCTAATTATATAAGGGGCAAAACAGGAAAGAATTAGCTAGAGAGTAATGGGATTCAGGAAACTCTAACTCAAACTATGGCACCTTGACGTATTGAATATTTTAAGCTCAAGGAGTTTGAGAAATGGCAGAAGCAGGAGGTGACTCTGATTTCCCTCTTCCCCCTCCTTCCCTGAAACACGCTAAAAAACCCTCCTGTGAGAAGTGCCCTCTCCTATACTTATAAGAAAGGAACATCCTTATCTCCAAAGACAAAGAGATATCAAGAAGAATCCTAACAAACAGACCTTGCTAAATTTCCCCCAGTTTACTACAATTATCTCATATTCTTTAAACTATTACATTCCTTCATGACTGTGCACTCTTCATAGAATCTAAAATACACATCTAACTGTTTCTTTGGGTCTTCATTTCCTTATTAAAAGAGCTTATGTCATGTAAAATTAAATACATTTGTGTGCTTTTCACCTGTTAATTTATATTTGTCAGTTTAATTTTCAGACTCAGACAGTGATCCTAAGACAGTTGAGGAAAATTTTTTCCTCTCCTACAAGAGTTAGTGCTCAGAAAGCACTAGTCTGAGAAAAGGAAGGGAAACACAAAACTAGCTTTCAAGTCCAGCAACTTTGGTGCCCAAAGGAAAAGATAACAGAGAAATAGAATTTAACAAAACCTTACAATAAAAAGGTTTCAGGAGTGGGGTAAATAGGAGGAGGAAAGAGAGAGGAGGGTGGTAAAGGAGTAAAGCTCAAAACAAGCCTAAGATAATAGTATCCAATTTGCAAAACAGTATTGCATTCATTGCCACCTACTATTTCTCTCATTTTAATTTGATGATGGGGAATAAAAGAAACTAAAGTGGCTACTTCAAGGCCTCTCAATGCCTTATGGATTAAAACAATCATTTTCCTTTCAGTCTGATCTCTTTTGATATATATGCAGTCAAATACAAGTTTCCAATTCTCTTTCTGGATCTTTGAAATGCATGAAGTCAGCCAAAACCCTTCAGACTCTACTCTTGCTCTTGAATGATGCTATAAATCCTATAAATATTTGCCAGGTTGAAACCAAACACATGTTCAATAACAGAACTTGGAAATTTTCAGTTCCACAAACCTCCTCACCGAAATCACCAGCTTCCATATTGCAATTCCTTTGGTTTTGTGTCAGGAAGGAGCTATTGATATTCTGTCTTATCTGTAATCTTCCTGCCTAGAGTGAGGGAAGATAAAAGCACGTAAGTGAGGCAGTGATTCCAATAACAAACATTCACATGTCAACAAGTTCTATTGAAAATTTTTTTCACTTTTTAACTAGCTGTACTTCTTTGGCTAAAAGGTCCACTCTGTAAACTCATGCCAGAATTATATCTAATACTATTAAGGTCACTTATTTTCCCCTAAAAAATAACCCACGCCCCCACAAAAGCTTTTAATTACACTGAACCTAGTATCAAATAAAATTTATATTTTAAAATGATATGTTACAGGGCCTAGCCCTGTGGCCAAGTGATTAATGTTCCACGCACTCTGCTTTGGTGGCCCAGGTTCATGGACTTGGATCCTGGGCATGGACCTACTCCTTGTAACATAGTAATCAATATCAAAATTTAATCTTACACGTAAACCTCTGTAAAATGTTCTCCAGTAAATCAAATAGCTGAATTTTCTCTGCAGCCCAGAGAACTTCCTGCCAGTTTATTTTTACCCTCTGGAGTACTGATGTAAAAGGTCCTCTGGTTATTTATCCTGGTGGCTTGTCAGGGCCATTTCTCAAGAATCATTCCAGTGACTATTTGACAGCTTGTAGTTGCTGAAGTAATTTTGCTTCAGTGAATTTAGAGTAGAATACTTTGTTTCTACAGACAAGATACCAAAAATAGAGAAGAAAAGGACCGCAAATCTTTGCCCTAATGATTAGCAAATATAACTCCACCCCTCACCACTCAGCCCCTCTTTGGAAACAATTCACTTTTCTATTGCTAGTAACCTCAGAATAAACTTTATTTAGGCAAATTTGAATATAAGGTGTAATTGGTTTATTAGCTGTCAGCTAAAGTTTGTTTGCCCTAATAACATTTACCAATTTGTACCTTTAACAACGTAATTAGATTGCTGGGAAAGTCTTTATGAACAGAAATTTTTCATTTCTTTGGGACGATATAAATTAGCCACAAAGGAAATTTAGAGAGGAGGGTTGGTTGAGTCTTGAATCAAAATTTCACAAAGGATCTATGATGATATTTGAAATGTTGAGAATTCTTAGTATTTCAGATTTATTCAAATTCAAATATAATTTCCCAAAAATGCATTCCAACTCCAAATAGATTTTAATTTTTAATTATCCACTCTTTTACTTATATTTAACATGGTGTGGTAAATTGAGGACCTAGATTTCTCATGTTTATTTTTTATTATATTATCTGTATTACAGTAATTTTGTTTTATACAAGAGATCGTTTTTCTAAAGATCTTAAGAATTATTTTCTAGAGAGTTTTTTGAGGTATAATTGAAATAAAATAAATTGAACATATTTAATATGTAAAAATCCATAAGTTTTGACAGGTGAGAAACCGTCACTGCAATCAGGAGAGTGAACATTTCCATTGGTATCCCATTTTTTTGTTGCTATCCCATTTTCTATCCTCACTCACATCCACCCCCTAAGCAACAAGTGATGTGCTTTCCATCATTACAAATTAGTTTGAATTTTCTGAAGTTTTACATAAATGGAATAATAGAATGTGTGCTCTTTATTTTCTTGCTTCTTTCTTTCGGAATAGTTATTTTTATTTTCATCAGTATTTCGTGTACAGTCATACGCCACAACAATGGGGATACATTCTGAGAAATGCATCATTAGGCAATTTAGTACTTGTGTGAACCTCATAGAGTGTACTTATACAAACCTATATGGTATAGCCTACTACACACGTAGGCTATGTGGTACTAATCTTATGGGAGTGCCATTGTATATGTGGTCCATCACTGACTGAAACATCATCATGCGGCACATGACTATATTGATAGTTCATTCATCTTTATTGCTGAATAGTATTCAATCCTATAAATATACCCCAACTTGTTTATTCATTCATCCATGGATAGATACTTGAGTTGTTTCCAGTTTTGGACTATTACAGACAAAGGTGCTATGAACATTCATGTCTATGTCTTTGTATGGACAGACATTTCTCTTTTCCCTTGGGTAAATATCTAGGAGTGGAATGTCTGGATCACATGGAAGGTATATATTTAAATTTTTAATAAACTGTCAAACTGTTTTCCAAAGTGGTTGTGCCGTTTTACATTTCCACTAGCATTGTTTTGGAGTTCCAGTTCCTGCACACCCTTGACAACACTTGGTATGATCACTCTTTCAATTTTAGCTATTCTAATAGTTTTGTAGGGGTATCTCATTGTGGTTTAATTTGAATTTCCATTATACCTAATGATGTTGAACATCTTTTTATGTGTTTACTTGCAATTCATATATTTTCGTTGATGAAGTATCTATTGAAGTATTTTGCTGAAGTTTATTAGGTTGTTTATCTTTTTCTGTTGTTGTGTTTTGAGATTTCTTTATATATTCTGGATGCAAGTCCTTTACCAGAAATATGATTTGCAAAGATCGTCTCTTAGTCTATGGCTTGTCTTTTAATTCTCTCAATAGTGTCTTTCAAAGGGCAGAGGTATTGAATTTTGATGAAGTCAAATTTATCAATTTATTCTTTTCTAGATTATGTCTTTTGTGTGGTATATGAAATCTTTGCCTAAATCAAGGTCACAAAGACTTTCCCCTGCTGGGAGTTTTTTAGTTTTAGGCTTTGCATTTACATGTGTGACCTGCACACTTTTTGTGTCTAGTGTAAGGATGGCTCAAAGTTCATAATATTTGCATAAAGATACCAACATCCTCCATCACCACTTGTTTACAAAACTCTGTTTTCCCCACTGAATTGCCATTGAACCTTTGCAAAAGTCAGTTATCCTTCTATGTGTGGGTTTATTTCTGGATTATGTCTTATGTCCAATGGATCTATTTATCTGTCTTTAGGCTGATATAACACTCTTTTGATTATGTAGCTTTATAATAATTCTTGAAATTAGGTAGTTATCCCTACAACGTTTTCTTCAAAATCGATTTGGGGGGCCGGACCCATAGCTGAGTTGTTGAGTTCACGTGCTCTGCTTTGGGGGCCCGGAGTTTTGCCAGTTCGGATCCTGGGTGTGGACCCAGCAGTGCTCATCAAGCCATGCTGAGGCAGTGTCCCACATTGCACAACCAGAAGGACCAACAACTAGAATATACAACTATGTACTGGGGGGTCTTGGAGAAAAGAAGAAAAAAAGATTGGCAACAGATGTTAGCTCAGGGCCAGTTGTTTTTTGTTTTTTCCTTTTTCTCCCCAAAGCCCCCAGTACATAGTTGTATATTCTTCCTTGTGGGTCCTTCTAGTTGTGGCATGTGGGACGCTGCCTCAGCGTGGCTTGATGAGCAGTGCCATGTCTGCGCCCAGGATTCGAACCAATGAAACACTGGGCTGCCTGCAGTGGAGCGCGCGAACTTAACCACTCGGCCACGGGGCCAGCCCCCAGGGCCAGTTTTTAAAAAGCAAAGCAAAACGAAACAAAACTGATTTGGCCATTCTAGAGCCTCTGCCTTTCCATATGAAATGTATAATGATCTTGTCAATTTCTAAAAAAAAAAAATAATATGCTGGGATTTTGATTGGGATTTTGCATTGAATTTATCAATAAACTTAAAGAGAAATGATGTCTCAATATTGAGTCTTCTGACTAATGAATAAAATATCTCTCTATTTAGGTTTTATTAGATTTAATTTAGCAAAGTTTTATAGTTTTCAGTGTATATGTTTTTCACATCTTTCATCATATTTCCCCCTAAGTACTTTGTATTTTCGATGCTGTTATAAACGGCACTGTTTTGTAATTGCACTTTACCATTTTTCATTGCTAGTATGCAGAAATACAATTGAATGTTACATATTAATCTTACGTGTTGTAACCTTGCTAAACTCATATATTAGTGTTAGGGTTTTTTTTTTTTTTGTATATTCCATTAGGTTTTCTAAATAGATGATCATATTTTATGGGAAAGAAGACAATTTTACTTCTTCCTTCCAAATCTAGGTGCCTCTTATTTATTTTTCTTGCCATATTTCACTGGCTAGAAACCCCAATTTAATGTTATATAGAAGTCAAAAGAGAAAATCTCCCTGTTTTGTTCCTGGTCTTAGGGGAAAGCATAACAGTCTTCCATGCTCAAGTATGTTAGTTGCATGTTTTTTGTAGAGGCCATTTATCAGGTTGAGGAGGTTCCCTTCTGCTAGTATGCTGAAAATTTTCATGAAGAATGGATGATGGATTTTGCCACATTTTTTCCAGTGACTACTGAGATCATCATATGCTGTTCTTGCTTAATTTACTAATATGGAGAAATACTTTGATTGATTTTAAATGCTAATATAACCCTACATTCCTGGGATAAATCCCACTTGATCATGAGTTTTATCTTTTTAATATATTGTAGGATTCAATTTGCCAAGATTTCTTTTATAATTTTACAGCTATGTTCATGTGGGATATTAATCTGCAGTTTTCTTTTCTTGTAATGCCTTTCTCTGGTTTTGGGATCAGGGTAATGCTGGCCTCAGTTACTGATTGGACAAGTATTCACTCTGTTTCAATTTTTTGGACAAGTTAGAGTAGAATCAGTGTTACGTATTTGGGTAAAAGTTACCAGTGAAGTAATTTGGGCCTGATGTCTTCTTTGTGGGAAGGTTTTTCACTACAATTTCATTTATTTAATAGCTATAAAGTTATTTATATTATGCATTTCTTCTTGAGTAAGTTTTGATAGTTTCTGTTTTTCAGGGAATTTGTTCATTTCATCCAAGTTTTTAAATTTATTGGCATAAAATCTTTCATAGTATTTTCTTAACATCCCTTTTTTAATATTGTAAAACATACATAATATTTACCATCTAAACAATTTCTAAATGTACAATTCAGTGGCATTAAGTGCACACACGTTGTTGGATAATCATTACCAACACCAGAACTTTTTCAGCTTCACAAACTGAAACTCTGTACCCATTAAACAATAACTCCCCATTTATCCTTCCCCCCAGCCCCTGAAAACTACCTTTATACTCTCTGAATCTAAGAATTTGAATACTCTCAGAGCC